CCTCACACACCAGCTCAGGCTCCTTTCCCACCAGAGTGGTGACATTCCACATCCCTAGAGCCAGCTTCTGTAGCCAAGGATTGGACTGCTAAGGTCCTCGCCCTCGACCACTGCCCAACGCACAGTGCACCTGGTGGTGAGCCCATGGGAAGGGGGACCCATGTCTTCTCTTCGGGCTGTGCCTGACCGGGCTACATGGGCGAAAGCTCAGCCACAAGGCTTTCGCCAACGTGCCCCACCTCCAGGCTTGGCTCCAGAGTGGGGCCCCGATGACCCACATACAGGCAAGAAAACACTGAATCCATCCATCATATTCAACATAGGGGTCGATAATTTTATCATGGCTAATAAATTCATAGTCAAAAATAACAATTTTGAGAGTTAAAAATGTTATTTTAGAATATATTATGGTATGGTAAATCATAAATAAAATGTACTTATGGTATATTGTGCCTTTATATCCAACCAGGATACTCAAAGTGCTTTACACTACAATCTGTGCCCTCATTCACCCATCCACACACATTCTTTCTGCACTCTACTAGAAAGCTAATATAGGTACAYCAATCTATAGAGATTAATTAATGCTTTTAAATCACACTCGTGAAACACATCAGAGGCATTGGGGGTTYRGTATTCTGCCCAGAGACACTTTGACATGTGACATAATAGCATTTGAATTGAACTRCCAACTCTCGCCTCAGAGGAACAACTGCCCTAAACACTAAGCCACAGCTGCCCACCACTCAGCCACATGAATATGTTGTACTATAGTAGAACATACTTAATGAGGCTTTGGATCATGATTTTATTCAAGTGACAATAATGTTTACAATACTAATCTAAATGCAAAATACAACCCCTGGCAAAATGTATGGAATCAGCAGTCTTGGATGAGCACTCATTCAGACATTTCATTCTGTAAAACAAACTCAGATCAAAAACATGATACAATAATAAGGTCATTCCAAAGGTCAACTTGTTGGCTTTCAGGAACACAAAGAAATGAAGAGGAAACATTGTGGAAGTCAGTGAATGTTACTTTTATTGATCAAGCACAGGAAAAAAATATGGAATCACTCAATCCTGAGGAAAAAAGTATGGAATCACTCAAATTGGAGGTATAAAATAAGGACACACCCAGTCAGTTTCCTTTCTCTAAATGGACACCTGGCTCAGATTAGATCTGCTGGTTAGTCTGCAGTTAAAAACACCTGCAGTCATGACACCTTGGAGGGCTGCTGGACCAAGTGGAGTGGCAAGAACCATGGCTCCAACAAGAGAAATGTCTCTTGAAACAAAAGAGAGGATTGTGAAACTTCTTGAAGAAGGTAACTCTTCACACATGGTTGTTAAAGATGTGGGCTGTTCACAGTCAGCTGTATCCAAGATATAAGATAAGATAAGATAAGATAAGATAAGATAAGATAAGATAAGATAAGATAAGATAA